GGGTAGCATCTTAAATTGTGGCAGCTATCTTTGTGGCAAGATACAGCTATCTCTGTAGCAACTATCTTTGTGGCTGTCTTTGGAAATGTTCTGTGGAGTTTACCATAGTTTCTATTGTGTAAAAGGAAAACTTATTTTATAATAAGATAGCTTCGTATATTGAGATTTAAAAAAACTTGACTTGTCCTTTTAGAGAAATTGTCCTTTTAGAGAAAAAGTAACATTGTGATGTTAAACAGATTAATAGTGTGTAATGGAATTGGCATTAAGAAAACCAGTTTCAGATTCTAACAGCTTTTGACACGTATACTGTGAAGAGATTAGACTTGCCAAGCTAATATAATTTGTGTTAAAGGAAAATACAAGTTTGGGATTTGAAAACTATGCGGCTTATTCTTTTAATGAGTGTTGTGGCATTAAGGGTCTCTGGACAGACAGGCTATAAACATAAGGAAAGCTGTATAGTATCAGAATGAAAAAAAAAATCGAACACCACAAGGCAATCTGTGAATGCCAAGGAAATGATGCAGACAGTTAATGTGTGAACGTTTAGATGAAGGAAGGGTTATTTTATAACTGGGTTTTAAAGATAAGCTGAAATTGTATGGGAGAAAGGAAAACTATATGTAGTTGTGTACTATCAGGTTGGAACCGACCCATAATTGACCCTCCAGGAGAGGCAGCAGGTGGATCCCAAGTACTTCCCTTTGCGTTGGTAGCACGGTTCCTCACCACTATGCCATCAGGGCTCCATATAGAGATTATGTACATACTTATATGTGGCTAATACCTCTGGAGGGAGCTCTGGAATAGCTTGTAGGGAGTTGTGCCTCTGTGGTGGTTCAAATCCACCAGCGGCTCCGAGGGAGAAAGTTGGGCAGTCATTTCCTTTGCTGTTTACAACCTTCCTGGGAGTTGGTGGTGTACCTTTTTTAAAGAATTTTTTTTCATATTTCCCCCCTACACTTTCCTTCATTGACATGTTTCAATCATTCTTATACATTGAGTTTTATAAAATTAATCACCACTAATGGTGGGCATCTTTTCAGGTCCCAACTGGATCTTTTCCATTTTCTTTACTCCCTCTCTCCACTTAGAAACAAGGATGGTGACTTCATTCTGCATACTTTGTGATTGTTATCAGGAAGGTCCTTATGATTTGAAAATTTACTTGATAGCATCTGACAACAACAGATGATGTTTGGTGGGTTAGTGGATCCTCATTGTGGGGAAGGACAGCCAAACTTGGATAGAGGAGGCGGTTGTTGGCAGAGAATGACCCTGGCGTTGAAGGGTTTGTGCTTTGCTCTGCATGAAGGGTGTGGTGGCAGAGGGCTTGTTCCTGGAGGAACTGAATCTCAATGCTTTGGAGTAGTTAGTTCCGGCATTGGTATGTTCCCCTTCTGTATTGCACACAGCTTGGAAACCACTGAAGTCATGTGCTCTGCAGAACTTGTTCAACTGGTTTCCTCCTCACAGACCCCTAATTCCGATTCTCTCCCTGATTTTTTTCTACATGTGCTCTTGGTCTGGGCTTGTTTCAAGGCTCACCACAGTACAGGTCTGGTGTAGTAGTTATGTCTTTGCCCAGTTGGAACCGGTAGGGCCAAGTACATATTCCCTTTGAAAAATGTTATCAATAAAACAAGGCAGACAGGTATTACACAAATTACTGAGCAAGTGCTGAATTCCAGACTCTAGAAGTAGGCCTCGTTTTGGGGCTATGTCATGTTATCAAAGGGACTCTAGTGGTTAAGCTCTTGGCTGCTTAAAGTTTTGTTTGAAACCTGTTCTGCAGAAGAAAGGTGTGGCTAGCTGCTTCCGTGAAGATTTATGGCCTTGGAAGCCCACCAAGGCAGTTCTGCTTTGCCCTGTGGGGTCACTGTGAGTCAGAATTGACTCATTGTCAGTGGGTTTGAGTTGTTCCTTGGAAGAAAGGTCTGGAAATATATTAGTTGGAAAACCCTATTGAGCAGTTCTACTCAGACATGTGGAGTCCCATGAGTTAAAACTGACTCCATGGCAGCTGATTCCTGGTTCCAACTTGATTATCTCTTTTCATCCTCACAGCAATCTTAGTAAGATAGGTATTGTTCTTCATCGTAGTTTACGGACAAGAAACGGAAGTTAGAGGAGAGGTTAGAAAATATGTCATTCTTGCTTATTCTTGCTTCCTTCCCTCTTTTCCAGGAAGACGTGTGTTCCCTTCTATGGTTTGCTGCCACCAGTAATCTTCAGAGTATTGTTTTCTTTCATACATCTGTAATTCTACCTTTATTCATTCTTTTCTTACAGACTGCAAACATACTTCTTCTCTCTCAGATCTTCCACTGTCTCTTGCTCCTGTTACTCCAGTTTCTTTTCTTCAGTTTTTGTTCTTGAAAAAAATGTACATTTGTCATTTCTACTTCCCTTGTTTTCTCATTACTTTAACCTCTTTCCTCACCATTCCACTGAGACTCCCCTTGAGGAAGGTCCTAGATGACCACGTTCCTTATCTGCACTTCATTTTCTGTTCTCTCCATCTCCTTGCAGCTTTGAAATTCCATTCTCACCCTGATATGCACGTTTCTCCTTGTTCTCATTCCACCAGTGATTGGCGTTCTCTATAGTTACCTCTAATGTTGCCGGGCTCTGAGGCACCGTCCTTAACTCTTTTCCCTCTGGTGGGCTCATCCATTTCCCCATGGTGCCATTTTCAGTTTGTGCCCCGAACCTATGAGTTTCAGATTTATATTTTCATCTGCCTTCCTAATTTCACTACTTGGATGTCTCTGACAATTCAAGCTGAACATGTTTCAAAGATTTCGTATCCTCAGTCTCATTATGAAGTCATCATATGTTCTGGAAAAGCAAAACTAAATCTCTAAATTTCCATTCTCACTCTAAGGAAGTTTCTGTAAGTTTACATGTTGCTGTATTTCCTTCTAGAACAGTGTATGAGTATGGAGTTCTCCCCCATGCTTGACAGTAAGAAGTTACTATTACTACCTTTTATCTTTGCTGATATGACAGGTGAAAATGGATGATATTTTTACTTTTATTTGCATTTTTTATTAGTAGTGAGATTTGAGAATTTTTCATATACTGGTCATTTTTATTTCTTTTGTGAATTGTCTTGTTTCCAGTCCATGGTTCTTTGTCCTTTTATTGTATATATGTACTATATATAAAATATGTATATAAAAAACTGTACACACACACACACACACACACCCCCCTAGAGGTTTTCCCTATTTTAGAAAAATAGTGTGTTCCTATTACATCTTTCCTAAGCTGAAACAGCACAAAACAGTTACTCTTGAGTTTTCCCAGACTGAAAAAATAATATGTAAAGCCTAAAGTAACACTTTACACTAGCTTCTCATTTATCAACCTGGATGGATTTGAAAGACCAAACGGTTATTAAAAAATGGAGATGTTATAAGAAGAAAGATTACCATGTCAGAATACAATATGATGAGTGGCACCATCGTTACACAACTTCCAAATCACATTCAATTATTGTCAAGTCAGAACCAGCTCTTAGCTGACCTTCAAGTGGGCTTTCAGAAGCTATAAGTTACATGGGGAGGAGATTGCCTGTCTTTCTCCCACAGAGAAGCTGGTGAATTAGAACCACCTGGAGTTGGCAGTGCAGCTCCTTTATCATTAAGTCATTAACGCTCCCCATGGCCCTGGAAGTTGAACTATCACAGCGAATGTTACTCTTGTCTCACACTTCTGCATTCGTCTCTGTCAATATATGTTCATTTTCAAAATAGTTAGATACTAAATTTCTTACTATTATTGTAAATGTTAAATGTCATCAGATAACAGGATAATTGAGACTACCGGCAGTTGAATTGATACTGATTTGGACTCTGTAGGGTCTCTGAGGCTATAAATTGCTATGGAAGGAGACTGCTTGTTTTTTGTCTCCTGCCGAGCTCCTGATGTGTTTAAACCACTGGAAATTTGTAGTCTGGCTTAGTGCCATAACTCGATACAGACTGCCATCCTGGCTCCCTTGCGTGAGGAATCAAAACCCAACCCCCCCTCAAATGGACTGCAGTTGAGTCAGAAACAACTCATAGCTAACTCTTGTGAGTTTCCAGAGGCTTTAAGTCTCAGGAAGGAGATGGCCTATCTTTCCCATGTGGAGCCATCAGTGGACTGAATTACTGGAGATTTGGGTTAGCATTGCAGCTCCTACAGACTATGCCAGTTTGCTGCAAAAACAAATGCAAATTTCACTTTTTTTAAAAAAAGCAGAAACCCTCTTTGGATTTCTTTTGGTTACTAACAACAAATTCTAATGTTCTTTTATGAAAGCAAAGTGAAAAAAAGCTTTTAAAAAGCAAGGGATTGGGATTTCTTGACCCACTTTCCCCAGCTCTACCCTCCACCAGGATACCCCTACACTTCTACCAAATCCCTTCAGAATTTATCTTCCATTGTCCAACCCTTAATTTGACAGCTTGTACCTGAAGCTTTCTTGCCTTCTGTGATTCCAAACACGTCAACTGCTGACAGTTTTTTATGCTGTGACCAGTGTTTCTGGTGTTATATATGTTTTGAAAAAGAACCATTCAATCTGTTAACTGTGTTCCTGTTTAGTAGTGGAGTTTCATACCTGATGTTACTTTTTTATAATTTTGAGTTAGATCTGCTAAAGAGGTTCTAGGATTAAACTTGAGGAGGAAGAACTTGAAAGTTTACATTCCTTCATGTGAGAGGAATGATTAAGAGGTCTGCTGTCCGCTTTGTTCAGCTTTTGTCAGAAGTATAAGGTTTTTGCTACTGTGTGGTTTGTGGCCATGGCTGGGAGTACTAATCACATGAAAGGTATGCTGATGTCACCATTTGATATGCTATTCTCAGAACGGGGTGGGGGGGGTGGAAATTACGGGTTGAAACATTTGTACTTGTTAGTGAAGAAAAGAAAAAATGATACCCCCACACAATTGTATCCATGCCTTCCCTGTATTTTCTCATGTCCTTTTCTCTCTTTTATGCAGGTGGATGGAAGCATGCCTAGGAGAAGAGCTACCTGCCACCACAGAACTGGAGGAAGGACTTAGAAATGGTGTTTACCTTGCCAAATTAGGAAATTTCTTCTCTCCCAAAGTGGTGTCCCTGAAAAAGATCTATGACCGAGAACAGACTAGATACAAGGTGAGCCCTTTCTTGGTGCTGAAATTTCTGTGACCTAAAGTCTAGCATATTTTATTCTGTGTAATAGATATTAAGAATTAAGAAATAGCATGTAAAGTATGTTTACTCTAAAAAAAAAGCCTTCATAATGCCTAGCAGAATGAAGAACATAGTACAAAGGTGAAATAAAGCAGTAAAAGAACTTCAGTTTGTTTGCATTGCTGATAGAATTTTAGGCCAATTTATCTAGAAATTTCTATGGTCCTTGATGGATTTATTCCTTAGAAGGCAGAGGAAATAAGCAGGGAAACTACTGCTTTAAATTGGAAATAATAGCATTTTTTGAGGAAAAAGTCCATGATGTTTAAAATAGGGAAAGCTGTCCAATTTCAGAAAATTTAAATAAGTGAAAGAATTTGATTCCTATGGCCTTAGATTGGAGAGTATTCATTAACAACTTGCAGACTGCAAATGTCACAGCTTTGCTCTCAGAAAGGGAAGACGACATGACATTTTTGCTGATGAAAATCAAAGGTTACAGTCTTTAGTATGGATTGTACCTCTACTTAAACAAATAAGTAAATGCAGCTAGACCAGTGAGCATCGTCATGATAAAGGAACAAACTTGAAGTTGTTAAGGGCTTCTTCCCCGCCCTTGAATCAGCATGGAGTCAGTAGCCAAGAAATGAAATGAAGTATTACTAGGCAGATCAGCTGCCAAAGACTTCTTTAAAGTCTTAACATAAAACAACGATGTCACTTTTAAGACTTAAGAAACCATTTTCAAACTGGTGTTTTCAGTTGCCTCATCTGAATGTGAAGCTTGATAACAAGTATGGGAGACTGAATCATTGCATTCGATTGTGTGGTGGTAATGAAGAGTATTGACTACACCATGGACTGCCAGAAGAATAATAGCTGTCTTGAAAGAATTATAAAGATTGCTTTTTGGAAATGAGGGTGGCAAAATATTGTCTTATACCTTGCACATATTATCAGGAGGAAAAAGTCTCTGGAGAAGGACATCATGTGTGGTAAAACAGATCAATAAAAATTGAAACAGAATGAAGACTTTCAGTGAAACAGGATCAATGAAAATAAAGATCCTCAATGAAATAGAGGACCAAAAAAGGTTCATAGAAGAAAAGAAAAAAAATAGAGGATCAATGAAAAAAAGACCCTCATTGAGATGGGCTGACCCCTGGGCTGCAGAAGTGAGCTCAAACAGCAGTCCCTGTGATGCTGGTGTAAGACTGGACAGTGTTCTGTTGTACTGTTGTTTTGTTCTCTTGTAATTGCTGTGAATTGAAATGTACTTGACAGCATGTAGCAACAATATATATGTTGAGATGAATGATGTGATTTGTCTAATGTCACTAGGCAGATAGAATCCAGGTGAGTTTAATTATTTTTTTTGTGTGTGTGAGTTTAATTCTAAAGAACATGTCCTCTTGAGTGTTACACACAGGAAGACTCTCCAGTTGGTTCCTAAAGAGCTGAGATGTGCTTTTGATTTCTTGATTGGAATGTGAACGGAATGGTATAGACTAACCTTAAATTTAGTCATAGGAACTTCGGTAGTTTTTTTTTGCTTTTGTTGCAGTGTAACTGACAATGCCTGATGTCCTTTTGTTTGTTTTAGGCAACTGGTCTCCACTTTAGACACACTGACAATGTGATTCAGTGGCTGAATGCTATGGGTGAGATTGGATTGCCTAAGGTAATGGATATATTTATAGTTCTAGTGTTATTCTTGTGTTGGTAGAACAGTCTCATTCTACCTGTAAAATTATTTTCAATTGTAATCTTTGTGATTTTTTTCCTAAATAAATACTAAATGGTCTCTCCTGTCTGATTTAAAATAATTTTGTTCCTTTTCTTTTATATTCCTTATCCTGGAGAATTTGTCTGTGATTTATATACTTTTACTACATGAAATCATAGACAGTATTATTATTATTATTATCTAGTATTATTATCAGTATTATTATTATCTAGTCATGGTAGCCGTAGCTAGGAAAATTGTAGTTTTAGGTTTTAATTTGCTTTGTTTAACTGAAGTAAACCCCCTCTCACACCTAAATAAAAGCCGGTGGGGTGACCAGAGACTGCTTTTCCAAATAGTACTTTTTAGTCTGTGTTATATAACACTTTATTCCTTGTAATATTTACCATTAAATGTCTGTTCACCTAATGAAGTTACCTGGTGAATACCAGCAATGTTTTTTAATTAAAGCTCTATTTTTGTTCTTGATCATGTGAACTCCAGTATAGATTTCTTATTCTGTTTTCTTTATTTCTAGATCTTTTATCCAGAAACTACAGATATTTATGATCGAAAGAACATGCCAAGATGTATCTACTGTATCCATGCACTCAGGTAATCAGATTTTCTTGGTGAAGTAAAAAAGATTAGAAGTAGCATCAGAGTTGAGTTTGTAGCTTTTATTCATCAGTATAGCAATAAAAATTTTTTTCTACCAGCGTCAGAATTTTCAAAAAGGTTGAATGTTGCTATCATAACAAAATGATGAGAAATGAACTATTTTCCTAAAGTTTAAGGAAAAGGAGTTTATTCCCATAATAGATAAATTTGTTGAAAATTATCTAGTGGTTGTGGAAACATCTAGTGTTTTGTGGAACTATATACTTCACTGAGGATACTGAGTAAAAGAAATTCCTTTTTATAATTTCTTTAAAATCTTTTAAACTATGATAAAACCTATGTGCGTCTGAATCCTTAATATTTTGTTGCAGACTGATGAGCTTAATTACAAAATAACTTAAATATTCACTAATATTACAATTTAATTTTGTTAGGGTTTTCAAATATTCATAGCAAATCTCAAATGACTGCTTTCAGTTTCTTTAATCATCTGGGTCCTTGTTATTAAGCCATTTATTCTTTCATGAAATAATTTTGTACTAACACAAATAAGAAAATATAATAACAAAGAATATTGGTCTGTAAATTCATAGTAGATTTGAAATGTGACTCAGTTCTGGATATTTGGTTTTTATGATCAAGACATTAAATTGAAAGGAAGAAGTAATACGTCTGAAGGGAGGCTAGAGAGTAAGTGTTGGAGTATAAAAACTCATAGCCATCAAATCAGAACAAATTTATAGCTGATCTTCTAATAGATTTGAGGCTTTAAATTGCACAGGAAGAGGTTGCTTCTCTTCTGAGGAGGAGCTGGTGGATTCCTATCTCTTAAATTTACAGCACAAATCCCTACCCATTAAGGTTGCCAGAGTATGTTGTTGTTATGTGCCGTTGAGTCGCCTATGACTCATAGCGACCCTGTGTACAACAGCCCTAAACTCCACTCTGTCCTGAGTGCCAATCACACCGTCTCTGACACTCCCATCCCAATTATCCCAGTCACTGAATCAATCCACCTCATAGAGGGCCTTCCTCTCCTGCGTTGTCCCTCCACCCTCCCAAGCATGATGTCCCTCTCTAAGGACCGGTCTCTCCTCAGAACATGTCCAAAGTATGTTAGACAGAGCCTCAGAATCCTTGCCTCCAAGGAGCCACCCGGTTTAACCCTTTCCAGGACAAATCTGTTTGTTTTCCTAGCAGTCCATGGTATTCTCAATACTCTTCTCCAGCACCACAGCTCAAAGGCATCAATTCTCCTTTTATCCTCCTTGGTCATTGTCCAACTCTCTGATGCATAACAAGTGATTGGTGATAAATTGAATTAAATTGGTGAATTTAATTCAATTTACCTTTCTTACCTTATACTCTGGTGCCAGAGTATAGTAGTGTAGTACTATAGTAGTGTAGTAAGGTAGTACTGTAAGGAAGAAAACGATATATTTTCTATGTAGAAGTTACAAGATGGAGTTAAAGCTGAAAAAAGAAACCTTTTCTAAAAGTTACTAAGACAAACTCCCTTGCCCTTGTAACTCTTCTTGTGAACCAACCAAGGCCAGTTGTGGGGGCCCAGTCATCCTCTGAAGCAAAGACAGTTCAAACATCACTAAGCCCAAGCCACCTTTCAAGCACAGGTCAGATAAGCAAACCAGGTTGAAACAAAGACTGAGGTCGATACCCTTGACCAGTAGGGTGAAAAACACAGCCTTATCTTTTATATCAAGGATAAAGCTGAGCAGACAGCCCTCCAGTGTGCTTACTGGTCAGAGTTTGGTCTCCTCAACAACTTTCTGCAGAAAGACTTTGCTGAAATACTTTGTTCTTGCATGTTTCTTTCGAGACACTGAGCCATGTTTCTAACAGTACAAATTTACTTAATGGCCGTAGGGCTGATGGAGAAGTTGGTGGAAATGAGTAATGCTGGAGCATGCTTAAGTGAACATGGATACGAGATTTCTTGTCTGGGCTACGTTTTAATGTAATATATATGTGTTTAATAAATGTGTATTAATGTAATGTTTATATACATCAATCCATAAGAAACCTGTTGTCTCCAGTTTCTTTCTCAGTCATGTACTAGATCCTTGACATCACTGGTATCACAATGTGTAGCCCACAAAAGAATGAGGACTAACTAGCTGAGAACTAGGGATGTCTTGTCCGGGCGATTGTGTTAACCTCCTGAGAAATTTCCTCCCAAGCTACTATCCTAAAAGCGCTAATCCTATCACACCCTCCGAAATTATTTTGATGGCTCATTTTCAGCTGCTTTGAGTATCCTGTCCTGTCTCATCTCTGTCCCTTCCTTCCTGAGTACTTGAGCTCTCCAGTTTAATCAAACATGCCAAATGCTCTTGTGCCTTCGGCATTTGTTCTGTTTGCCTGAGATGCCCTTTCCTCACTATTTTAACTCATTCGTCTCAAACCATCTCTTTCCTGTCAGGTGGAGTTTAATCTGTGCTCCTCTTCTGGTTTTGTTTGTATGTCCATATTTCTTGGGGGCAAAACCTTCTTCCTTTTTCCTTGCTTTGCCTTTGTATCTCTAATACTTGAATACTTACTTGGACATAATAAGGAATCAATAAGTGTTTTTTGTTAAATTTATGCACTGTGGCAGATCTGCTCCTCCTGACCCACTTAAGCTCTTGAGTATATTTGTCCAGTAAGTGAAGAGAAAAAAGAAATAGTAATTCCTCTTACCAGCTGACTAGCTCAGTTCTCATCTGTTTTGTTACATTTTCTCCAGTGCAGCAGATCTTTGTTTTGTCCGAATTCTTTTTTATTTCATTCGTGTTTTAGTTATGTTGTTTCTTTCTATGCATTTGATCTTCCCCCATATTTAGATTATTAGTATTTTAGGAACAGAGGTCATTCATTATATTCTGCTCCACTCTCCTAAGAGCACTTAACATAAACGATAACATGCAATTTTTTTCCCCTCAGTGTATTAGGAATGACTGATACCTAGGTACATTTTCAGAATAGCCATTTCAAATGTGTGTGTGAGATAAAACCAGATTGATTCTTTGTGATTGGCTTACTGTTACATGAGATCTGTCTGTGTTGATGTCCTTGTGAAGGCTGTTCCTCCAGTGGATTCTGACCTTGTTAGGCACAGTGACTAAGCTGGCAGAATTTCTCCTTGCTAGTTCTCTGATCACTCTACCTCCATGTAATCTAGGTCTCAGGCCCTCACATTCTTTCAGCACAAGATTAAGAATTGACTGTGCCTTTGGATAAGAGTTAGAAAGAGAAAAAGAGGATGTGTGCTTTTGTCCTCTGTTTCTATTGAATATACTTTCAAAGTATACAGAAGAGCATTCTGTTCGGCAATTTGGAGGATGGATGCCATCATTATGTGTTTCTAGGCTCGGATCTTTATAGGAAGGAGCTTTAGTGGCTTACTAAGGCATCGTGCTCAACACAGGCATGTGGTTAGAATCCAACAGCTGCTTCACAGGAGAAAGATGGTCGGTCAGTCAGCTCTTGTGAAGTTTACTGTCTCTGAAAACCCACGGCAGGGAGGGTCAGATATCGGTTGGTTCTAACTCAGCAGTATACAACAGCAACAATTACACATTGGATTTGTGCAGGACTTGAGTTGTGTCTAGTGATTGCGGTCCAGTGCTTTATTTCATTACAGTTTATGATGTTATAAAATAATATAGGTAAAACTGAAAAAGTCTTCAAGGTAAAATATTGTTACTGCAAAGGGGGGGAGGAGTATTTTAGGGATACTGAGATTCTCAAAGTGTTTTTCTTTTATTCTTTATGCTGATTTCTCCCTTTAAACCTAAAAGTAGTAGCAGGGAGGTCTAATTATTTTGCATATTGTGTCTTCTAGTTTGTACCTGTTCAAACTGGGCCTGGCTCCTCAGATTCAAGATCTGTATGGAAAGGTTGACTTCACAGGTAAGGAGTTAGGAATTTGGTAAGAAAAGCTTGATTTATGTGGAAAGAGCCTAAAAGAAGCAAAAGTATCAATTTTAAAAACTTAGGACTCCAAAAATACTCTGGCAACAGAGATGAAAGAAATAAAAAAATAACCTGTTTCTCCTAATGTGGTGGATAAAAACATTAAACTTATAAGAAAATGGAGCATGAAACACTAAGTTTGCTAAACACTAAGTTGGCTAAAATGTTAGTATCATAGAAAAAGTTTTATACTCAAGCTTTCTTCTCCTTCCAACAACTGGTTGTTGATCACCTATTGTAGGCAAAGAACAGGGGAGAGAGTAGGGGACTGAACTGATACAAAGATGACAATGCAATAATTTAAAACTTTTGTTTATTTGGATTGGTGTTTCTATTATTTACTGTAGTAGATTCTTATGCTTCAGTAATCTCACAGTGTTAAAGGAGAAAGACGGGCCTTGGGAGCACCAAGAATCATTTCAATAGAAATGATTGGTTAGAAAGAAGAGAGAAAAACCTTTTGAACTGCTTATTTGTTTTGTAAACCTGAGAATTTCAGAAATTGGTAATAAAAGCTTTTATTCATGCCAATTTTGGTGAAAACATACCCAGCTGAAGACATCCATTCCTACAATTGAATTGTACAATTCAGTAACATGGTCATTTTTCATGTTGAGTCCCAATTCTCACTGTCTATATCATTTCATCACCATAGACTCACTCCTCTCTACATTTCTCAAGTATGTAAAGCTTTTATCTGTGATATATTTCCTCTTGGGGAAGTGCTTACCAGACCCAGAGCAAGGGCCAAACCCTACATTCTTTATCATTTGGCTTTCTGCCTTAGAAATGAAATTGTTGGTTGCAGAGTTTGGTGGGTGGGGAAAGGGAGTGAAAAAACAGAAAAAAAATCCCCAACAATGTAAATGAAAACACAATGTAAACAAATTACTGAATGCAAATGAAAAAATGAAATTGTTTTAATAGCAGTCAGTGGTTTGTAAAGACCAAGATAGCTGATTGTGTCATTTACTTATTCAGTTCATAAGTTCTTTGTAGAAAATAACCTATGTAGAAAATAAGTTTTGAACAAACTCTTTCTGTGGGGCCATTCTACTGTACCTTTGGTGCCCTTGATAATAGTTTAATACATGCTCTGTGCCAGGTATTGTATTACGTACTTTCCATGTGTTATCTCCTTTTAACAACCTAAATGATTGATGTGATTTTATTTCATTTTATGGCTGAGCAAGTATTTCTTTCTCGAGGTTACACAAAAATATTTGACTAGGTGTTCTTTCTTGTAGAAGAAGAAATTAACAACATGAAGATTGAGCTGGAAAAATATGGAATCCAGATGCCTGCCTTCAGCAAGATTGGGGGTATCCTGGCTAATGAACTGTCAGTGGATGAAGCTGCATGTAAGAAAAATGTTCTGGGCTCAATTGCTGCTACCACTTCCAATAATTAATACTGTGGTAGTTGTTTTGAACATTAGGAATTTTACTAATACATTGTTGTAGTCTTCTGTCTATTATTGTTTGGATGTAATTGATTACTTTTATGAAAAGTGCTATATTATTAGTACCTTTTTTATTTTCTTGTTTTCTATGTTAATTGATAATTAAGTATGAAAATTTCATGAAGTATGAAATAAGCAGATGCATTTTACAAGGGTCTCTGAGTATACCTCTATTTCATATTTAGCATCCCAAACGTGGATCACAGGCAGAGCCATGCCTTTGTATTTTGTAAAGAGTAAACAATGTTCGGTCGGAAATAGGGTGTTGTTTCTCCAACCCCAATCTTTGTTTCTCTGCAACTCTTTGTGCTGGAATAAGAACTGGATAGTGTTATAAGGTCATGTACATCCTTTTAACCACGATGCTGTGTGCCTTGCTGTTTTTTTTTTTCAGTACATGCTGCAGTTATTGCTATTAATGAAGCTATTGACCATAGAATCCCAGCTGACACCTTCATAGCTTTGAAGAACCCCAATGCCATGCTTGTCAATCTTGAAGAACCCTTGGCTTCCACTTACCAGGATGTACTTTACCAGGCCAAGCAGAACAAAATGGCAAATGCTAAAAACAAGGTAAAGATAAAATAACTTAGTTGAATGACATTCTTTTGTTTGCTGTAACTCCATTTTAAAAATCCGTGTCATTGAGGTATAGTTTATGTACAGTGAAATGCACCCATTTAAATGTCTTGAATGTGGCAGTTGTGTAACCATCACCCTAAGATTTCCATGAAGCCCTTTTTGCAGTAATCCCTACGTCCTCCCACACCACTGTCTCTGACCCTAAAAAGCTACCCCTTTGCTTTCTGTTGCTATCATTTAATTTTTCAAGAATCTCTTTTAAATGGGATTGCATAGCATGGAATTTTCATATTAGACTCCATTTTTACTTTATTGTGCAAATAATAAAGAGCAATAGCTTTCTGAGCTGTTAAGGCTGGGTGGACCCCTGAAACTAGTGCCAGGATAATCTTTACATCATAAGCCAAGAATATGCCATCATCTTTAAACCAGATAATAACTTAGCTTAATTAGTAAAGATGATCTGTCTTGAGCATTGTTCTGTTTAAAGACCTATCTATGCGGGATAGAATTGACAGTGGGTGGCCTAGTAGTAGAGAGCTGTGTTGCCATCCAGAAAGCATGCAGTTTAAATCCACTAATTGCTTCAGGGTAGAAAGATGAACAGTCTCCTCTCATGCGGTTTACTGCCTTGGAAGCTCGCTGGAGAGTCAGCTATGGTTTGGTTCTGACTCAAAGGTACCTGACACTAACATCATCTGCCTTGAGCATTTGACAATAGAAAGTTGCAAGGTTAAATAGAAAATATAGTTGGCAGTGAGTTGTTACTGAGAGAACAGTTCAGAAACAGAAACTGAGATTGATGCATATAGAATTGTCACCTTTATTATATATGGAGAAATTGTTGAATTGGTTTATGTTTTTGCTGTAATGTATTTTCAACAGCAACCATAATAAATGAAAACTGAAATTTTGAAAGGTGGCTTCCAAATATTATTATAGCCCATCTGTCTTCCTAGCTTTAGGGTGAAATATTCTTGTATACTATATAATATAGTGGAATAATTGAAAAAGTTAGAGCTACAAATCTCATTTGAGACTACATGTGTACTTACTAATTTGTTGTGTTTTTTTAAATTAGTGACTAAAATATATTCAGTCTTGACAACCCCAAAGGCAACCCCATTCTCAGAATATTGATTGTATCTCTTATTTTAGAACAGAGATTAAACCATGTGATAGGTCTCACACTATCCTGCAGACAAGTAGCTGCTGCCATAGTCGTGCTGTACCTGTACTACCAGTGAGGTGCTGAGTGGCAACCTGGGTTCCTGTCTGTGCAGGGTGCAGGCCACTGACCCTTGAGAGGCTGACAGTGGTGACCTAGGTGTCAATCTGCAGGAGGCAAACCAGTGTCCATCCAGCATGAGTGCTGCTGCCCAGCTCTGTATGAATATTTTTGCTTGTCATTAACAAAAAAAATCTTCTTGCTCTCTTTATTTTATAGTAACATAGCATTTATGGTATTTATACCCTTATGAATACCTACTCAGCACACTCATTTATTCTTGGCTTTTGTAGGGTGAGAGTGGAACAGAAATTATTTCCATGGTCTTTTCAGGCACTTAAGCTAATTACTTGTGCTTTTTTTACTCATCCTCAGACAGAGAACTCTGAGAGAGAAAGAGACATTTATGAAGAGCTGCTCACTCAAGCTGAAATTCAAGGGAACATAAACAAGGTCAATGGTAAGTATGCCCCTGAGTCCGCACATAAGGGGCTGTTAACAGAGTAATAGAGGAATGGCAAAGGACACACTGACAAAGAAGATTAATCAGAACTGGCTTTGACAAGCACTGTGGCATTTGGACAAGAACAAACTGGGAGGAGGGTAGAG